ATGTCTGAAGATCAGACCGAGGACATGATCGTATTTTCACCTCCACACTCATCTCCAGACTCCAGCTAGCGTAGACAGCGAAGAAAAAGAAAACAAACAATGCCAATGCCCTTATTTATTATAAGTACAGAGAAAGATAATGCAAAGAAGAGGGAAACTTCAATCTTCTTCTTCTTCTGCATTTTTTTTTCTCCATTGAATTTCTCTTTCCTTCTTAATTGAATTGGTTGTATATCCACAAACCATCACGGACCCAATCTGTCCGAATTGCTTTTTCTATATTCAATTTTGATTCTTGATTTGTTTCTCTTTTCACTCTTTCATAAATTCTCATTCTTTCTCTCTCTGGACCTGATACTTTCATTCATTCCGTTACCGGAAATAGTCAATTCTCCGGCGAGGCCAAATGCCACCGGAGTTTTTGACTTCGGTATTGGTGTGTACCCATTTGTTTTGAGGAACAGAGGAGTGGAGAGATGTCAGTCTACGACGCTGCGTTTGTGAATACGGAGCTGTCCAAGCCGACGTCGATTTTTGGACTACGATTGTGGGTAGTGATTGGGATCTTACTTGGTTCACTCATAGTCCTTACTCTGTTTCTGCTTTCCCTCTGCCTCACCTCCCGCCGCAAATCTCGTCGGCCGTACCGCTTGGATCCTACTCCACCAATCTCTAAGGAGATCCAGGAGATCGTCCATCACCCTCCCGCACCCGATCAGTACCAACATGTGGCGCCACCGGTTCCGGAGATTCAGGTGGATATAGGGAAGGTGGAACACAGGGTGGTGTTCTCCAGTGGGGAGAGTAGAGGGGCGGCGAGTGCTAGTCTGAGTGAGACGGCGTCGTTTGGGAGCGGTAGCGTCGGGCCTGAGGTCTCCCATCTTGGGTGGGGAAGATGGTATACTCTGAGGGAGCTAGAGGCAGCTACAAATGGTTTGTGTGCGGAGAATGTGATTGGGGAAGGTGGCTATGGAATTGTATATCGTGGGATTCTGAGTGATGGGACTAAAGTTGCCGTCAAGAATTTGTTGAATAACAGGTTCAAATTTCATTCCTTTAACATACTTCTTTCCATTTATTATGTGCTTGATGGATTGCATGTGGATTTGCGTTTTTTCTCAGTGGAGCAATTTGTGTTTTGTTTTCTTATCTTTCACCATTAATTCATGAATTGACAAAAGGAAAATAAGAATTTGGATGTGGGTTGTTATATTAGTCTCAGTTAGATTACTTAGAATACAAGGGAATTGAAGTTTACATTTTATGTTTTCTTCGGCGCATGGATTGTTGATGATGGAAAAGTTCAGTTTTTTGGTCTTGTTAATGGTTAGATGGATTAGGTCATTATTGTTGATTGGTGGGGTAAGCCTCTCGGCTCTTGGTCGGTTTCTTCTTTCTTCCAGATTCCTGCCTTGAGTTTGTTTGAGCTTCTTCTATAAGCTATCCTGCTTTTTGAAGAAAAGAAATTTGTCCCATTTGACTTTTTTCTACGCTTAATCAACCTGGATAATAAGTCTTTTGGTAAATTCCTCTATATGCCCTTGCCACTTACCTTTTTTTTTGTCTATGCACTGTTTACCAAATGGCTCACTAGAGTGATTCATCCTCAGGGGTCAGGCTGAGAAGGAATTTAAGGTGGAGGTGGAAGCAATTGGCCGTGTACGGCACAAGAATCTTGTAAGGTTGCTAGGATACTGTGTTGAAGGTGCATACAGGTATTCATATTTACCATCTGTTTTGAGATTGGGGTTATCCTTTAGTGTCGAGAGATATGACTAACATCTGGTTTCACTTATTAGGATGCTTGTGTATGAGTATGTTGACAATGGCAATTTGGAACAGTGGCTCCACGGGGATGTTGGGGATGTCAGTCCTCTAACATGGGAGATTCGTATGAATATCATATTGGGAATGGCAAAAGGGTACATTAATTGAATCCTACACTGTTTCTATTTCCATGCCCATTCTTATGTATATCTGTTACTTCTAGTCCACTGTGTACATTAATTTAATTCTTCCATTTCTAAGAGCTTATTGCTTTACTTTTGCAGCTTGGCATACCTTCATGAGGGTCTTGAACCAAAGGTTGTTCATCGAGATGTAAAATCTAGCAACATACTACTTGACCGACAATGGCACCCCAAGGTTTCTGATTTTGGGCTTGCAAAACTCTTGTGTTCTGAGAGAAGCTATGTGACAACTCGTGTAATGGGAACTTTCGGGTTGGTTGATCTCCCTTTTGTAGTTATATATACAGTTTCACTTTGTTTCTTTTCTCAGCATATAATCTATAGGAATCCAATTGCTGATGTGCATTAAGGCATTTTTCTGTAGTTGTTATGATTCAGATCAACTCTTTGTGGTTTTTCTAGATATGTTGCACCAGAATATGCTTGCACTGGAATGCTGAATGAGAAGAGTGATGTCTATAGCTTTGGTATTCTAATAATGGAAATAATAACCGGTAGAAGCCCTGTTGATTATAGCCGACCTCAGGGAGAGGTTAAACCTATCATATTTCCTGATCCAGTATTAAAGTTCATCACCTTGTTTATTTGCAGTTGGAAATGACTAAAAAACAATTGCAGGTGAATTTGGTGGATTGGCTAAAAACCATGGTTGGAAATCGAAAAGCTGAAGAAGTAGTTGATCCTAAGCTGCCTGAAATGCCAGCTTCAAAAGCACTTAAACGTGTTTTATTGGTTGCCCTTCGCTGTGTTGATCCTGATGCTACAAAGAGGCCCAAGATGGGGCATGTTATCCACATGCTTGAGGCAGATGATCTGTTATTTCATGATGTAGGCACCATATCTAGTTCATGCCGTAAAACCTAATTTAGAGCATCTGAAATGATACCATAGTTAGTATTCACTCAAACTTACTATGTATTAATTTGTCTTTTTCATGAATTGAAGGAACGTCGGGTTGCTAGAGAGGCTTCCCATTCACATTGTGGCAATCAACAATCAAGTCATACCACTGCAAAATTAGGTGATAGACAATTTGTTGATGGGGCATCTGCTTCAGATACCAGTGAATATGACGGTGGAATGAGTCATCACCAGCCAACCAGATGGAGATAATGCTTTCAGATATAGGTGACTAACAATCCAAATCCTATCCAAGCTTTCGAAGTTTTTCTTCTTTACTTATATTAGTTTCTCAGTATTTGGATTGCTACTATAATTGTCAAGAAACAATAACCTGCATATCTTTTGCGCTTTGTTTGCATATTCTTTTTAGATGTTCATCAAATCAAATTGGCAGGCATATGTACATTCAACATAATTCATATAAATTCTTATAGAATTTATATTCTTTGGTTTGTTTCTAACCACATTTTATGATGGTTACGTGAAACATGCATTTTTCTTGTTCATTGTATGGCAAGTTTGGTTTTTCCATTGTCTGTCACCATCAAAATTCATCAGTTAGGACCATATAGAATAGTTTCTGCATCAAAGTTTTGTGAGAAAATGGACCCATGCACCAGCTAATTCCGCCGAACTAACATCTTTTATTATGTTATGTTTCCTGTCCCGTAGTACTTGGACCAGCTAGCTGGAAAGGCAAGATGGTTACTGCTGATCATGGCTTTATGTTAGTGGTTTCACCATCAATGCCCTGTGCAGCCTGGTCCATGGGTGCCAAATAGTCTCATTTGGCATGATGGAGAGAATGCACTTCAATTTCTAGGGGACCCTTTTTGTATTTTCCTTGACATGCCCTTATCCAAATTATTCTGATTCCCACCCAAAGCCGCCTTCTTAACTGTTTTGACGCAGATCACAACTATTCCCTACCCTGTCTTTTGGCTGTGCACTTCTATTGGACAGCAAGAATAGGGTTCGGGATGGATAGAGGGCAGGATGGACATGATCACACAATAAAATGCTAAGGCCACACAAACTATAATATTTCTTCCTTAAATAGTGATTATGATGTTTGAAAATATGAGATTATAGGCTTATTATAACTTGTTAAGTAATTAATAGTTGGGTGGGGTTATTGTCACCTTTCTTTAATATAATTGACTATTATATTCTTATATTACACCTTTTTTCAAAACTTAACGTTGTTTTTGTTAATTAGATAAATTAAAGGATATAATAGGTAATTAAAATAAAAAGATATGTACTAATAATTAAGGGTTTGACAATAACATCAACCAACAATTATAGTTATAAGTTGTTTTTAATAGTCAAATTAAAAAAGTTAATGTTTTTTTAAAGACAATAATTCAAAAATTTGTGTAATCTTAGCCTTTCCTTAGTATGGTTTTGGTTTTAGTTATGGATTTTGAATTTTTAAACTTTATATATTTA